ACCCCCACGAGTGTCACCTGCGCGCTGTCCCCCTCCAGCCGTGGGGGTCGGATGCTGGACAGGTGGATGGTTTTGTGGTCCCCAGAGTTGAGCTTCACCACGATGGCATCGGCGTTCAGCACCTGCATCACCTGGGGATGGAGAGGGGCTGTGGTGAGTGCCAGGACTGCGGCACGCCGGGCACACCCAGAGCCAGGCACCGCCCTGGTACCGGCTCTGGCACCGGCTCTGGCACCTAACCCACCCCGGCTCGACCCCCATCCTGGGTGGTGGGGGGTCACTGCAGGGAACGTGGCTCACTGGCACTCCCGTGGCACTGCTCTCCTAGCCCAGGAGCTCAGCACTGCCCAGAGCCCTGCCAGGTCCCTGCGTGGTGACACCGTGCCACACCAGCGTGGCACCAGCTGTGCGTGTCCCGTGCCAGGACTCACCCCCAGGGTTTCATTCCAGAAGCACCATCGGCTCCAAACCGGACAATGGACAATACACGTGGAGGAGGGAGGGAGCACAGCCCATGGGGGGGACTCTGCCACCCATGGCCTGGCTGCTGGATCCCCAAAGGGTCAGGGAGCAAACTCATTATGGTCATAAACCCATGGAATCCTAGAATGGTTTGGGTGGGAAGGAACCTTAAAACCTCACCTGATTTCACCCCCTGCCATGGGCAGGGACACCTTCCACTAGCCCAGGTTGCTCCAAGCCCTGGCCAACCTGGCCTTGGACACTTCCAGGGATCCAGGGGCAGCCACCGCTGCTCTGGGCAACCTGGGCCAGGGTCTCCCCACCCTCCCAGCCAGGAATTAGGCACTGGAAGGGGCTCTCAGGTCTCCCTGGAGCCTTCTCTCCAGGCTGGACACTCGCAGCCTGGCTCCAGAGCTGAGGGGGCTGAGGCAAGCAGGAGGAAGGCAGTGGGGCTCACTGGGAATATTAAACACTGCTTTAATATTCCCAGTTTCCATTACCCTCTGCTCTCCAGCCTGGCCGAGTGGAGCCAGCACAGCAGGACAAAGCACCCGGATATTCCCACTGGCAGGGCATGGTCCTTTCCCCTGCCCTGTCCCAGCACAACCCGACTCCCTCCAGTCACACCGGGGCAAAAGGCTCCTGCTGTCGCTCATCCATGTGATCCCAGCCCCACACATCCCCCTGGAGCCCGGGGGAAGTGGAGGGAGGAGGGCACAGACTTGCTTCACACGCAGCACTTTTTGCCCCAGCAAGCACATCAGCCCCTCCAAACGTGCTTTGCCAGAGGGAAAACAGGACTAAAGGAATTCAGATTCGAGCAGACACTGCGGATCACCAGGGCACAGCAAACCCCCCGGGGACGGCCCTGCCACGGCCTCGGCCTCTCCCGGCACCCAGATCCTTGATTTCTCCTCGGCACAAGGAGCCCAAAGCCGTTTTCCTGCCAAGTGGAGTAATCAAATCTCATGCTCCAGGGCATCCCCAGCGCTGCCGGCGCGAGGAGGGACCCGGCCTCTCTCCCTTCCCTCACACAAGACTCGGGAAAAGCAAGATGTGCAGCTGAGGCGTCACAGGCAGGGCCGGGCGCGGGGGCACATCCCGCGCTCCATTACACAGCCCCGGCCCCGCTCACAGCTCCTTTGGGCGCGGGCAGGAGGCGGCAGCTCCCGGCACCGCGCCGGCCCCGCACGGTCCCCCCGCATCCCTGCGGGAACAAGCAGCTCATGCCTAGAGCCCCTCCTGCCCCGGGCACGGCCCCGGCATCCCTGCAGGGGAAACAGCAGCGGGCCACTGCCTGAGCCCCTCCTGCCCCCGGGCACTGCCCCGCTCCCTGCGGAAACAGCAGCGAGGGCACTTGCCCCTGAGCCCCTCCTGCCCGGGCACGGCCCCGCATCCCTGCTGAGGGAACAGCAGCGCGGCACTTGCTGAGCCCCTCCGGCCCCGGCAGGCCCGCATCCCTGCTGGAAACAGCAGCTACTGCCTGAGCCCCTCCGGCCCCGCTACGGCCCCGCAATCCCTGCGGGAACAGCAGCTCCACTGCCTGAGCCCTCTTCCGGGCGCCCCCGGCACGGCCCCGATCCCTGTGGAACAGGCAGCACTTGCTGAGCCCCTCCTGCCCGGCACGGCCCGCATCGCCTGCGAACAGCAGTCTCACTGGTTTGAGCGCCCTCCGGCCCCCGGCGCCCCCTCCCTGCAGGATGAACTCGAGGACCTCGCACCGGGATGACCCGCGTTGTGATGGGGCTCTGCAGGACACGGGGTGCAGCAGGAAAGGGATGCAGCAAGTCAAGGGATGCAGCAGGACAAGGGATGCAGCAGGACAAGGGATGCAGCAGGACAAGGGGTGCAGCAGGACACGGGGTGCAGCAGGACAAGGGATGCAGCAGGACAAGGGGTGCAGCAGGACATGGCAATGGAGCTGGAGCTCCCAACGGATGCCAGTCCCAGGCAGGACAGAGCAGGGTGGCAGCAGCTAAGAGAGACCCCCAGGTGTCCCCCTCTCCTTGGGCATCTGCTCCTTTCCTCTGGGCAGGCACCACAGGGAGGGCAGGATGTGCCCTGTCACCCCTTCCTGGGGACACTGCGGGCAGGGGGTGACACTGACAGTGGCCACAGAGCTGGCAGGAGGTGCCCTGTCACCCCTCCCTGGGGACACTGTGGGCAGGGAGTGACACGGTGTCAGTGGCCACAGAACAGGCGACTCAGCCCCGCGCCGGGGGCTGTTTGTCTTCCAGCACTTCCCCAGCCCGCTGCATCCAGCTTCCTTTATCCAATATTTATTGTGGCTTCACCTGCCTCCGAGAGGCCCTTTGATAAAGGGATTGGAGGGATTATTTTTTTAAACCTCTGCAGCTGTTTCTTGCAGAGCCGGCACGTTCCGGCGCTGCTTCCCAATCCTGTGGGACACGGCCCTCACCCACGCCGGGAGCAGGGAGGGGAGGCTGGGGATGCTCCTGAGGGCAGGGGGGCTCCGGCCCCCACTGCCAAACCCCAGCCAGACTGGACCCCCTCATCCCATCACCGCTCCCCATGGAAAGAACGTCACAGCAGTGCCTTGTCCATATTTATCCTGGAAGACGTTTTTTTCCTTGCTGCAAGAGTTGATCCCAACAAAGTTTCCAATTTTCCACCCCAGGGCTTTGCTCAGCCCCACTACTGGGGAGCACAGAGGGCAGGAGAGCTGGTACCCCTCTCCTGGGGGAGTACCCTCTCCAGGATGCACAGAGAGCATCCCCAAAGCTGGGGGTGACCTCCCACACCCTGACTATGGACAACAGGGACAGTGGCACTTTGGGAGCTGGTGCCCAGTTCCGGGAGAGGGGCAAGTGCTGTCCCCCCTCCCTGCCTCCTGAGGGGTTCTGGCAGGCCTGGTGCTCAGCTCAGCTCAGGAACAGCCCCCGGGTTCGGTCCTGGCAGATCCCACTGAGCTCCGCCATGATTTGGCCACGACCAAGGCTCCAAGCAAAGGGAATAAAAACAAAGATGAAAGGACACGGGCACAGCTCACCCCGATCCCCCAGCGCGGGGCAGGACGGGATGCAGAGCCC